TGCTAGCATCAGTGCCGGCAGGGTTCTCCGTTCCGGCATGCTTTTGGTACCCCAGACGAAAAACATAGTCTACCTTGGATCCTGGCTCCCTCCGCTGCCCTCTTGCTTATCCTAAATCTTGGTCCTCCATCTCTTCGCCATAACTCCTCTGTTCCCAGTGTTTCGACCTAAGACGAGACTACTTTCGTGTGTCATACTGTAACCATAAATTGGAACCCCCCTTTATCATAGATTCGAGCCCCATCAAGTACTCCAGTCAAGAATGGAGTACTTCGATTTCGATGAAGCCTCATATGGTTCCAACGTGCGTGAAGATGATGTTGCCTCGGACAATCTCGAGTTCGACGAGAACGAGGCCGCTGAAAACTACAACGCCATCTTCCAGGAACAGAGCCTAGAGTTTCCCAACGATCTACCGGAGCAAGATGCCGGTGAATTAGACAACGGCGTTTATCCCATGAGTCGTGCCGAGGAGCCATGCGACTTTTGCAGGCACATGAATCTGGATTGCTTTGTCGCAAAGAGTGGAGTGATGCGTCAAAATGGTTGTACTTGCTGCATTTCGCTTTATCGCGAATGCAGCTTCACCCACGCTCGAGCACCCGGCAAATTCTTGGATACCTTACATCCAATCTCCGAGAATACCTACATCCATACCGGTGGTTTGACCGGAAAGAAGGCGCTCAAATCGTTGGGCTTCATTGCTGAAGATGATGGCCGAGCGAGGAAAAGCAATTCGAGACTGGCGCGGGAAGCGGTCCGCATCCTTAAAGCATGGCTCCAGGAACATTGGGAGCATCCCTATCCAACAGAGCAGGAAAAGGACGAGTTACAGCAACGCACAGGTCTGAAGAGGATGCAAATCTCCAACTGGCTTGCTAATGCTCGGAGACGTGGTAAAGTTCCTCCTGGGCCGCGCAACTCTTCCGCGACGGGCGCAATCAACATTCCCGGACAAAAAGGCGTGGACATCACTTACATGACACCCATGGAGCGTTGGAAGCACTCGCCCCCTGAAAACGAACCCGCTGCCACCTCTGATATTCTGCGAGCCCTGGTCACGACCGACCTGAAATATGACCGACAGCGCGCATCCAGACCAGGTCACGTGCGTTCCCTTTCCCGGAAGACTGGGTCTAGCAATGACTCAAGCCATGCCAACTCCAATTTGTTCCATGCTCCCTCGGTCAGTAGTCAGGAAACAAGTCGATCAGCCACTCGTTCCTCTATATCAGACCTTTCTTTTGCCTCTGCCTTCTCCCACCGATCCTCTCTCGGTTCCTTCGGCTCTATGGAGCGGAAGGAACGCCGTCGCCGGCGCAAGCCCTCACTTCCCGTCAACACCTTCAACCAACAAAAGGCACGCAATGCCCGCATATACCAATGTACTTTCTGCACCGACTGCTTCCAAACCAAGTATGACTGGCAACGCCATGAGAAGTCACTACACTTGGCTCTCGAAAAATGGACTTGCTCCCCTTTGGGGGGAGTGGCCTTCATAGATGGCGCCAACCGTTGTGTATTCTGCATGGCTGTTGATCCCAACAACGATCATCTAGAATCACACAATTACAGTATCTGTCAAGAGAAGACACCCGCAGAGCGATCCTTTTACCGGAAGGATCATCTTAACCAGCACCTGAGACTGATGCACAACGTCAAGTTTAACTCATCCATGAACGCCTGGAGGAGCACTCTGACAGAATTCAAATCTCGTTGTGGCTTCTGCGGGCTGAATCTAACAACTTGGAAAGACCGAGTTGACCATTTGGCCTCCCATTTCAAGAATGGCAGTACCATGGCGCAGTGGCAGGGTGACTGGGGGTTTGAAAGCTTTATTCAGGGTCTGGTCGAAAATGCAATGCCAGCGTATCTCATTGGCGGCGAGCAGAAGACTCTGAATCCTTTCAAGCCACCCAACGCTGCACAAACAACTGGTCTGCTTCAACCAGAAGATGCGAATTGTTATAGGCGCCTGCAGCGTGAACTCACCGCATATATCCACAACCAGAGGGCCGTCGGTATCATCCCGACAGATCGAATGATACAGGACGAAGGCCGGCGAATCATTTATGGAAGCGACGACCCGTGGAATCAAACGTGCGCCGATAATTCGACTTGGCTCAGCCTGCTGAAGCGAGACACAGGACTTGAAGTACTCCCTGGGTCAGAGCACATTCAACTATCCGACCTGGGTATGCGACCGCCATTTGCTGCTGCTGACGGCCTAAGACAGGCCCCAGCCGAAACCAGCATGTTATCCAGTCCTCTCTACCCCAGACAGGGCACATTCAGTCCCGTGACCCCCAACTCTGGGCTCCAGAGCCCCGCATTTATGGGGCACGGTCGGTCTTCCTTTGCCGCGAGTGCTCCTGGGAGTTCCACTGGCAGCTATGCCGAAAGTTCTGGCTTTCTCCCGTCTCGGCCCTATTCCAGGCTGTCGGCTGATGTGGGGAGTACCCTGTCTGCTGGCATTGCGTCCCTCAACACGCCTTTGAGCGGATCTGTTGACCAATTCGTGCAAATGGGGTTCGATCCCGAGTTCTTACAACAACTGAATGAGCGGTATGACGAGTTACCGTTGGACGATTTGCAGGGGCTGTGCTTTGAAGAGAGTAGTAGGCGTCAGAGTGAAGTTGGGGCTAGGAACGTTGGACAACATCAAGTAGAGCCAACTGGAAAAGCACTGCCTTTCTCTACACCTGTCTCCGCTCCCATAGCCATACCCGGTATGCGGAGCTCCGATGTGTTCATGTCCGATACGGGTCCCAACGAGGAGCTTGCACCAACGACGGATCTGGGATACCCAGGTATGCATGAGGGCCGAGAGCAGATATAATGGTGATTGATGAGGGAATCGGTGTTGTAGATATGCGGCAAGTGTAGATAGTCCATGACTGAGAGGGTCATGATGTCGAAAAGTTTCTTATACTTCGATTTGCTTTGTGTGGAGAGATGGAATTATTTCGGGGATTCTCTCGCCCTTCTTCAACTGCAAACATTCATTTCGTGGGATGGAAAAGCGAGCATGTACAGGAGATAGCCACAATTAATATACCCTTCTTTGGACTGAAATCGACGAATGCTCCTTGCGTACAACATCATAAGAAGGGCGTAGTATACAATTAGTAGTGCTGTCACAGGGCGTAAAACAACATACGAATAATCCGATTGGCTGGCTCACCCACGCCACTGACCATGGAACCGCCGAGTCACGGGCCTAGAATTGGGTGCCTTATCGGAGGGGCCAACAAACGGCGCACCGTTTGACATGTGAAAGCCGCTGGCTGAAGTTTGCGCCGGAACTTTTCTCTCACGCCATGCACCTAAGCAACTTCTTGCTTGTGTTTCACCCTGCCATGTGCTTCAACCGATGGCTGGACATTCAGTAACTTTCTGAAACGCCAGAAAGCCTATCTGGTCGTTCGTGGACGCTGTTGCCGTTCTCTGCGTCAGACATACGCTGCTAGCACTGTCTCATGGTTCACCCCTCATTGTTGTTTATATTCATTGTATAGGCCCCTACCCTCGCAAGATGGATGAATTCGACGACTTAACAGCACTGAGCGATACGATGGTCTACCGCCAAGTACTCATGGCCTTTTCTCCCGTTATCCCCGCCTCGCTTCGACGGCGGATCTCTAGAGTATACCCATCAATGCATCGATCCGTGAAGTCAGAGGCCAGCGACAGCGCCAGCGCCAAAGCAAACACAGCTGATGAGACCGGAGGTGATGCGATGGCCGCAATGCGACAGACTTCTGAGCCGGAGTATGTCGCATCGGTGCCTGATAATTCTTCTGGGCACGCCTTTCAGCGCCCCAGTACTGCAAGCAGTGCTAGCAATGGAGTAGATCCATGCTTCTCGCCTGTCCCTGAGAAATCGCAAGAGCTCAGCGATATCTCTAGTCTCAGAAGCAGTAGATCTAGCAGTGTTTTCAGCCCAGTGGCTCCGAACTATGAGGCAGAATCCGGACTGCGATGGAATCGGATTGCGCCTGGTTCGTATGACCGCCTGTCTTTTTATTCCTGTTCTATTCTAGGACACACGAAATAGGTCACTAGTAATAGTCTGGCTGACAGAATTTCAGCACTCAACCTCCTGCAGAATGCTTGCCATGAAGCGCAGCAGCGGCAGTGCGACAGTCGCTTGGCTCGGATGTTGTATGTTGATGCTCTAAGTTACCTTCTCGATGGCCTCCCCGACGACATGAGCACCCAAGAAACCATGATAATTCAGGAAAATCTTCCTGCTGGTGTCAAGGAATCTCTGGCTGCGCCTGCCGTGACTGATCCATCCGCGGCAGGGCTTCACAGTATGCTTACGGGAAAAAATTCTCCACCTGAGCGATCTTACCTTCATCGACTGCTGTCGTCGACTATCGTCTACTTCTTCATAATGTTGCAATTCCTCATGCCATATGTGAAAATCCTCGTGTACCACCTGTACCGATATGAGCGATCCCATCGGTTAACGGAACGCGCCGTAACAAAGGTTCTGGATGCGGCTGATAACTTTGGTAAAAGAGGTATGGTTGTAGGGGCTGCAGTCCTGAATTACAACGAAGGGAGAGTGAGCGCGAATCTGATGGAGCTTGCAGCCTGGTGGGTGACAAGCATTGCAGGTGGTATCTACGAGGGATTTGCGGAGGGCATGATTATCATGGGAGTCACCCAGTCGCATGTTGAGCTGGGGAAGGCTTTTGTGCAGGCTTCGCGGTTATGAGGTACGATTTGAGCGAAGTAGATGGAATAAGTTGGGTGTGTATTCTACGCGTAGATATAGACTGTTATAATGTGACATGTCAATTACACAGTAAGGGGCACGCACTTCTACCATGACTGTTTGTTTTCCAGCGCTTTTGTATACTTTTCCCTCCCATGTGAAGTGGAGTTGCTACCATAGAAACCCAGATAACCGCCGGAGATAGCGGACATAAGCACCTCCGACTCTTCATCTTCGCCTCGCCGCACCCCTGAGCATTCCCGACCACCAATTCCAAACATCATGTCGACAACCCGCTTGCCCAACGTCCCTGCGATTCGGAAACAGCAGCTTCTCCTAGAATTGTGAGCATGCTTAATACCACTCGACTGACCAAATCGTGGTGTTGACTGTCTCTGCAGCGCAAGCTTGCAACATGCCGCTCCTCCGGGAACTTACATGAGCCTCAGCCCGGGCGATCCAACGCTTTGGTTGGGAGTCATCTTTGTTCGCTCCGGTATGTATACTCAATTCCTTATGATGACAGCGATCTGACAATCTTGTCTGTATAGGCCCCTATGCCTCCGCCGTCCTCCGCTTCCAGATCCGGTTCCCCACGTCCTATCCCGATATGCCTCCTCTAGTGAACTTCGCCACTGACGTCTTCCATCCCTTAATCGTCCCCCTCACCACATACACATTCAGCACCGGTGCCTCAAGCGAGGATCCAGTCAGCGCAACAGACGAAGAGCGGCTACACCCTGGCGGGTTCAGTCTGCGGCACGGATTCCCGCACTGGTTTGGCCGCGCAAAGCGAGCTGGATTACAATCCGCCACTCCGCCTAGAGAGACCGCCAGTGTGCGTAATTCGACTGCTACTAGCGAAGGGGTGTCCAATACCCTCTGCAGGGAAAGCATGTCCGGGGATAACGGCACCGCCAACGAACAGACAGAGCCTCAGTCGAAAGAAGATGACGAGAATGAAAATGAGGATGAAGGCGAGGCCGTCGCCCCGTCGTCAGTAGAGCAGCCGGTTGAGCCTAGAAAGACTGTCCCTGTATCAGAGCTGCTGGATTACATTCGGTCTACGTTCGACAATGAGACGGTCCTCGATTCTTTACCGCTGGAAGCAGCCGGAAACCCGAGTGCGTGGCATGCGTGGAAGGCTCATCGGAAGGGAAGCACTGCTTCTGCATCGAAGAAGGGGAGCCCGCAGGCGAGGTCCCCGGGAGACTGGCATTGGGATGGGATCTGGGCCAGACGGGTGCAGAACGAGATTGAGGCTAGTAGTTCGGATGCGATGTTGTATGGGAATACGACGCGGGGAGGAGTCGAGGAGATGGTAATACCTGACACACAGTGTGTTAATGATCAGCTGCTAACAAGCTCACAGATCCGGTTCAGCCGCCTCGACGAATCCACCCTGGCATCAGTCAAAGAGATGATGATTCCACGCACAGAGGCAGTGCGTGAGTAATTCAATATACCCTTAATAGAACCGATCGTGGCTCAGTTGACCTGACCTGATCTCATACATAATCAAAAAGTCATTAATCAAGGCTGTCATCATGACCCATCCATCCATCCATCGTGCCTGCCTAGTACGTCACATCTGTGGCAGTGCCAGAACACCCATCCATACATCCATCCATCCCCTCTATAGCCCTCCCAAAAGCATCTTAACTCTTTACCACCTCCTACTCATCCAATTACCAAAACCCATACCTCCTACAATACACCCATAACCCAATATGTCTAGCTGGTATTCACAATACAAATCATCCATCACCGTCATCCTCTTAGTCCTCGTCCCCATCATCGTCATCTGCAGCATCCTCGCCATCGCCCTCCTCTGCTCGGAATTTTGGAGCACCCGAAAATCAGTCACCTGGGTGTTCTGGGTCAAGCCGCAGGATCGTCAGAAAGGGAAACGAAATACCCAGCCGGATCTCGAACGGGGTCGGAACCCGCCTGCTTATCAGGAACCGCTGCGCAGACGGGAGGGGGAGAGTTGAATTGGGTTTTAGTTCCGAAGATCAGGTTTCATGATTGATGGTGGTTGATTAGGGTGGTGGTTCTGGATATCGAGGCTGTCGTGGTGTTGGTTGGGTATCTTTGAAGATCGCCGTTCTGGTTTTGGATCTCGTGGAATAGACTTCGAGGGCATGCGAGTAGACTTTTGGTGCACTGTATCAGGGATAAGACGACTACTAAGTTTTGAATGGCCCTGCTTATGTGGAGCGCTGCTCGACAGAGACGTTTGGTTGAGATGATACTGATGCAGATCGTTGGAAAGGTTCGACTAATCTTGTTTTGGGATAGCCACAGGGCATGGTTGGTTTAGGCTCACGATGGCGCGACTTGGCCTATTATGCCAGTGAAGGATCTTATATGCCAGGGACTACACTAGAGGATTGACCTTTTATATGTGGCTTCCACTATACATGTGATAAGTCAGAGGCAGGCTACATGGTTGCTTAGGGCATATGCTTCCGTGAAGGACAGTACAGGAGTTATGGCGTTTAGTTTCATGTTAACAGTTTGCTGTTTTACAAGCGGGGAATCAATCTGCTCTTTATGCTATCACTTAGATGCACTCCTCGGAATCCGGTCTCTTAGATCGAGGCGGGTTATATAATTTCCGTTCGAACTATACATATGAGTCCGTATCAGACGCTATAATGACATAAAGGGTATCACAAGTTCATATCTATCTATACACCATCACCCTCGACCTCATCCCCATCCTCAACCCTCCCCTCCACAAAATTCCTCAACCTCGGCGCATCGTCACCACTATCCCCCTTCCCCTCAGACCCCACACCGGCTCCCCATCATCATCAAACTCCGCCCACTGAAAGAACCCACATCCTTTCTTCCCCGGCGCAAACCCAGCGTAACACATCCACATATACCTCCCCCGATTCTCCCTCTTCCTTTGCACACACCTCAACACCGTATGTTCCCCGCACCGACAACGGGGTGTATACCGCGGATGCAACGACTCGCGATACCAGCGATAGGTGATATTGATCCTCGCCGTACCAGAAACAGGATGCGGAATGACCGTCCTAGCAGGGACAATGGAATGTTTCCATTCCTCTTGCATTTCTGCATGCATGATGAGGAGGGAGTTATGCGGTAGGTGGATGGAGATCTGGCCTCCATCATCACCATTATTTTCATCCTCATTGTCGGTGTCAACAGGGAGGATCTTCCTCACGCGAAACTCCCTCTCCACGCCTAGACTCAAGCTCCCGATGACGGGTCTCGGGCCGAGATATGTCAGTTCGTCGGAGTGCCAGCCTACGCTTTCTGTGGCGCCGGCGTAGCAGTTTACGAATGCGGCGTTGGGAGTCCATTCTAGTGGGGATTGAAAAGGGAGCTTGGGGCCCCGGGCTTTGATCTGCTCGTTCACGGTGCGCTGGACTTTGGCGGCAACGGTGCGCATGTGCGGGGTGATTTGCCGGACGTTGGAGCGGTAGGTGCCGCCGTAGGTGTATTCTGAGGTGTGGGAGTGGTGGTCTTCTGGTGTGGAGACGTAGATGCTGGCTGAATGGGGGCTTTGGACGGTTCGGTCGAAGAGTTGGAAGTGGGGTCTGGTGAAGTGCGGGGATTCGGAGAGGAGTTCGGAGAGGAGGGCGTTTGCAAGGGATGGGGAGAGGAAGTTGTGGATCAGGGTGCAGGGGGTGTGTGCTGCTATGGAGGCCGGGGAGTAGAGGTGGAGGGTTTGGCCTTTCTTTGTGAGAGGCTTGGAGATGATGGTCGGGGAAGTTGAGGTTAAGCATGTTTGGATGGCTGGGGTTCCTGGAATGGCTGTTGCGCGTTTCTTGAATGGAGGCGCCAAGCCAGACTGGATTTGGGTTTGAATTTGAGCTTTGATAGTGGATGAGGCTGTTTCCACGCAGCCGTTGCTCGAAACCAGGATTTCCATCAGCGTGTCCAGGGTCATGGTTGGGAAGAGTGACATCAGGAGGGCCAATTTCAGGTCGGTGGACTCTTCGTCGGTTGTTGTTGGTGGCGGAGGGCTCCGGGGCCTCTTCCGGGAGACGAAGCGATCCATGGAGAGGATCTCCAGGTCGAGCTGGAAGCCATGAGGGAAATGAAGGAGAAGCTGGGGAGGGATGTTGAAGGTTTATCTGAAGGTTTGCTGCGACTGGAATTGATATTCTTATCGACACGTGATTGCTCTCAAAGTGGCCAATCAGCGCACTACGTCATGGTTCAGGACAATGGAGTTGAATGTACTTTTGCTGTTCGTCATCTGCCTGAGCTAAGTCATAGCCATCATGTGGAGGACTTTGAAGGGATGCAACAAGTGACTTTTCACTACAGCACGCTAGTCAGATAGAAGGAATTTACCAATTGATGACGATGCAGCCTCAGGAGCAACACGAAGTGATTGTGGTGGGCGCAGGTATGGGCACTTTTCGCCTGCCATTGACTGACTCTTAGACTGCCTACTTACTAGTAATTATCAGGACTCGCTGGTCTGGCAGCAGCAAAGACGTATCTTGAGCTAGCGCCAGAAACAGATCTAATAATGCTTGAAGCGGTAATATCCCGCACCAAATGCCCATCCAGCTGTCCACTGATCTGCATTGACAGCGTTCAGCTGTAGGCGGCGTATGGGCAGAAAACAGCTATGAAGGGCTTCATACCAACAATCTCTACGGAACTTATGAGTTTTCGAGTTTCTCGCTTGATCCAACCAAATATGATGTGCAACCGGAAGCTCCCATCCCTGGATACGCGCTCAAGCAGTATTTCAATGACTTTATCGATCATTTCGACCTTCGGCGACGGACTCGATTTAACATTCGTGTAGATACGGTAGAAAAAGCTGACGGATTCTGGGCGCTCCACACCGACTCGGTACTCTACACATGCAATAAGCTCATCATGAGCCCTGGACTGTTCTCGACTCCGAATGAATTCTCGATCCCGGGACAGCAAAGCTTTGAGAGACCCATCATGAATCACTCTCAACTTGGAACAACAGGCGCTCTGCTAGCAAATGACCCAGCGGTAAACTCGGTGACGGTAATCGGGGCCTCAAAGTATGGATACGATGCCGTGTATCTTATGGCCTCTCATGGTAAGCATGTGGAATGGATCATCCGTAAGTCTGGAGGGGGTGCTGTCTGGATGGCATTGCCGTGGCTTTGGTTTGGACCCTGGCGATTGAAGCTGGAAGGACTAACAACCACCAGAATTATCACCTGGTTTAGTCCTTGCATCTGGGGAAATTGTGATGGATTTGGCTGGGTGCGAGGACTGCTCCATGGGACAGCGCTGGGAAGGTGGCTAGTGCGATCATTCTGGAATAAACTAAACGGGGATGCCATTGAGGTCAATGGCTACCGGAAAGAAGCGGCATTGAAAGATCTGGAACCAGATGGAAGGTAAGATCACCGAAAGCTAGACTTCATGACTAACAGCGGGTCACAGTGTGTTCTGGACAGGCCGCCTGGGGATCCTCAATTATCCCACGGATATCTATGATTATGTTCGATCAGGGCAGGTGAGAGTAAAGAGAAAGGACATATCGCATTTATCAGAAGGCCAAGTCAGCTTTACCGATGGCACAGATCTACAAACCGATGCTGTCATCAGAATAACTGGATGGAACCTAGTACCAAGCATCCAGTACGAGCCCGAGGGACTGGAAGGCAGCCTGGGGATTCCCACCAGGAATGTCTCTAGAGACCGAAAAGCCTGGGATCGTTTCGACCGCGCCGCGGATGAAGAGATACTCGATCGGTTTCCAGGTCTGCGTGACCAACCAGCTGTGAAGATTCCGTACAAGCTCGGGCTCAGTCCTTTCCGGCTCTACCGCGGAATTGCGTCTCCAGAGTTGACAGCCAAAGGCGATCAGTCCATTGCATTCTTGAAGATGCTTAATGGACCGAGCAACGCCCTTCTGGTCGAGGTGCAGGCTCTCTGGACATATGCCTATCTCAACAATCAGGTCCCAATTGACCGATCGAAGGTGTATTATCAAACAGCACTGACCAGTCGATATGGAAAACATCGACATCCGTGTGGTTTCGCGAGTTGGTATCCAGAGACGATCTTTGACGCGATCCCGTATCTGGATATGCTATTGATGGACCTGGGGATTAACAGATGGAGGAAGAGAAGCTGGCTGCGAGAGGTTTTTGAGGAGTACACAGTGCATGATTACAGGGGGACTAATCAGGAGTGGAAACAGCAACACAAGATGCTCTCTTAACATACTCTGAATGTTTGGGTAAAACAAGCCAGATAATTTCCTTACTAATTTAGTATATGAAACTATCCAAGAAATGTAAGTATAACATCAAAGACGATTGTGCGATAACTATTCTAACCCGCCCCTCGAGCCAAAGCACACCACTGACGCCAATCTAGCCAGACCAACCATACTCCTGACCCACAAACACAGTACTAGTATACACATAATATCATACAACATCCCCCAAATCTCAATCCCATACAGCCCACCTTACCCCAACTTCCCCCACCTCCCATCCCCCAAATACACCTCCCCCTCACGATGATACTTCCTCAACCC